TGGAATTGTACAGCATGTAACCCTTTGAGATAAGCTCTTTTCATTCAGCATAATGCCCTGCCATTCATCCAGGTTGCTGTATGTATCACAGTTAATTCCTTTTTATTGCTGAGTAGTATTCTTTTGAAAAGACATACTGCCATTTATTTAACTACTTAATTTTTCACAGGTATAAAACAAATAAAGGGGCTGGGCACGGTGGGTGAGGCCTGTAATCCTAGCACTCTGGGAGGCCAAGGTGGGTGGATTGCCTGAGCTCATAGGTTTGAGACCAGCCTGAGCCAGAGTGAGACCTTATCTATAAAAATAGCCAGGTGTTGTGGCAGGCGCCTGTAGTCCCAGCTATGTGGGAGGCTGAGGCAAGAGTATCACTTGAGCCCAAGAGTTTGAGATTGCTCTGAGCTGTGATACCATGGCACTCTACCAAGGGTGACAAAGTGAGATTGTCTTGAAGAAAAAAAAAAAAATATATATATATATGTATATATACACACACACACAAAATTTGTGAAATTTATGATATCCAGCTTCATATTATAGGCTTTTTTTTTTTAACCCACTTTTCAGCTCTGAAAGGCCAGAGATCATGTCTTACTAATTTTTGTTTTCTTTTAAGTTCTAGACATCATGCATCTCAACCTTTGGCCTAGCAATATAATAATGAATAAAAATTCAAAAACACCTAGTTTGAAATTGCCAAACCACAAACACCAGTTTATTGCACAGAAGGCTGTGGTTTTAAACCGTTGCTGGAATAAATGCCTCTTGTTTTGATATGGAAATGCATTAACTAAAGCAAAAATTTAAAGATTTATTTTACTATTTCACTGTTAAGGTAAAGACTGCAAATTTAAAATATAATTAAAGGCAATTCATGATCAGAAAAAAAAAATCAACCAAAATACAGCAAGATACAGAAGTATTTCATAATATGTATAAAATCAACTACCAAAAAGAAAATTGCAAGGTGCAGGGGTAGGGAGATGAAACACGTGAAAACACTAAAACATTGACACTGCCGTTGGATCAAAGAATGCTGGATGATTTTACTTCTGCTACTTTGTACCCTCTGATTGCCTTGATTTTTTCTTTAATATCTCTTTGCTAACAAAAATAATTTTGGGCCAAGCATAGTGGCTCATGTCTGTGGGCCAAGTATAGTGGCTCATGCCTGTAATCCTAGCACTCAGAGAGGCTGAGGTAGGTGGATCATCACTTGAGCTCAGGAGTTCAAGTAAGCTGGAGAATGTTTCTGCCCTAGAAATATTAATTTCTCTAAGTAACCCCGTCTTTACCAAAAATACAAAAACTAGCCAGGGGTCCTGTAATGCAGCTGTAGTCCCAGCCACTTGGGAGGCAGAATGATCAGTTGAGCCTAAGAGTTGGAGACGGCAGTGAGCTATGATGACACCAGTGCACTCTGCCTGGAGTGAAGAGTCAGACTATCTTAAAAGGGGGGGAGGGATTGAAAACAAAGACACATACCTTTTTTCTCTTTAAACATTTTATACATCATATATGAAAACACCCTCTAAAAATTTGAATACATTAGATACAGTTTCTTCTTTAAGTCTCCCTCATCTGGTTTCTGTCCCTTCATAAAAATTGATCTAAGGTCAGGAGTGAGTTCTGAGTTCCTAGTTGCAACTGCCAGTCTCTCCTCCTGCTTCTACGTGACCTTGCAGCTGACACAGCTGGCCACTCCCTTCTTATTGAAACACTTTGTCTTGATTTAGTGACACTGTGTACTCATTTCCTCTCCACATTTCTGGCAGCTGCTTCCTGGTCTCCTTTGCCAGGATTTCCTACTACACTTGACCTCTAAATATTGTACCTCATCACACTTACAGAGTACAGCGTTATTTCCAACTCCTCAAGGATGAAGTATCCACATATATTATTTGCAATTTTTTTTGGAGACAGACTCTTATTTTGTTACCCTCGGTAGAGTGCTGTAGCATCATAGCTCACAGCAATCTCAAACTCTTGGGCTCAAGTGATTCTCTTGATTCAGCCTCCCAAGTAGCTATGACTACAGGTGCCCACCACAATGCCCAGCTTTTTTAGAGACGTGGTCTCACTTTTGCTCTGGCTGGTCTGAACTCCTGAGCCCAGGCAATCCACCCACCTTGGCCTCCCACAGTGCTAGGATTACAAGCATGAGCCACCATGCCCGGCTGGCCCTACCTGGAATTCTTTCCAGCACATTTTTCTCTTCTCCCATCTTCATTTATTCAATCAGTGTAGATTTAGGACATTTGTTTTATGTTTCTATTATAATCAAATATTACAATATTTCTTTATTGTTCAAGTTGTCCCAATTTTGGTGTTTGGAAGCTCTTTTATCCTTTGACATACCCCCATTATTTAGTTTTCTCAACACTCCCTTTCTCGTACAATAAGATGTCGCAGGCTAATCTTGTACACTCTGCCCCGGAAACATTAATTTCTCTAAGTAACCCCAGTTTTAAAAAACTGGAATGGAATTAGAAACCAAGATCTGGGTATCAAGTATGCTCACTGCTATTAGGGTGCAGACCTACATTGTTGTCTATCCCTGATTTAGACACATCAAAACATGCTAGCTGGGAATGTCCTTTTCTTAGGCTGCAAAAAGTAATGGACAACCTGAAAAAGACCTGTTGAAAGTAACACTCATCCCAAATGTAATTCACATACGGAAATCCACATATAATCAAAAGGATGTTTCTTAAGTTCTAAGCTATGTATCTTTTAATCAAATTGTGAAATCGGAGGTAAAATACTTCAATTGAAATATTTAAAAAACTGAAATACACTGAAAATGCAAGATTCCCGATGTTAGCCAAAGATGAAAAGGGAAGAAGAGGAGCCAAAATGTTTACTATGATGAACACTATCCAAAGAGCACATTTCCACTAAGGGAGTGATTAGATATTCTTAATATTGGGAACTGCAAATTCTTCCAATAAAACCTAAAGTGAAAAGAAAACTGGATTATTCAGGTTTGAGTGACCTTTGTATAGCACTGACTAGATCAGAATGGAGTAGTCCTGTTGCCAAACAGGAGACAAAAAATCTACTCTGAAGCTATTATTGAACTTGAAGTTGGATAAAAATACTCTCATTTAGGCTAGCTGAAAGAAAAAAAAATCTAGGTGTTATTACATATCTTAAAGAAAATCAAATAGTTTGCCCATCCAAGCGAGGCCCACACTTTATGGAGGTGGTTCCTTTGCAGGGGCAAGGAAAATCGAAGTTACATAAATGGAATCCAAGATTTTCCTACAGATATTTGCCATAATAGAAGTAATATTTCCAAACAGGGTGTGACATTTTTTTTCCTTTTTCAATGATTGTAACATTCCTTTTAATCAAACTGAAAATTACACGCCTCTAAGGATCTCTTTAGTTTGAAATAGATCTAACGATATTAAATTATACCGTGAATCAGCATCACCATCAACTACAAAATGACCTCCATCTTGCTTCTTCCTGGCTCACAACTTCCTTTCCCATCAATAAATCAGAAGGCAAAAAAGACCTTTATCATGGTAATGAAACTCAAGTGCTATTTTGGGAAAACTGACAGGCAGCTAGGAAGAGAAGCTTCTGCATAGACTTAAGGCCACTGGAGGGTAGGTGAAACAAGATTCAGGAGCATCCTTTTGGGAAGAACAAGGGGTGATGATCACACCCTTGACCCAGGATAATCCTCTGGTCTGTAATCAGCCCCTCCTACCCTCGATACTAGAGAGCATGTTGGACTAACAGTCCAAAGGCTTCCGCTTTTGTGCTGAACTTGATCTTTTGATTGCCTCCTCTTGAGAAGAAAAAAAAAAAAAAGCAGTCACAGCAGCACAGTGCTGGGCTAGATCCTAAACCAACAAAACCAAACCATTTCTACACTTCTGTTTCACACTTTTCCCTTTTATGAACCCTAAGGGCTTCCCTCATTTTAATTATTAACAAAATAAAATGCTGTCACCCTAAGATGAAGCTGTTTTACTTTATGGAACTGGTATTATGCTGCCACCCTTCAAAACAGTTGCTTTGCTCTGCTGCAAAGTGCCTCTGTCACCCCTCCTCACCCCCACGCTTTTTCCGCCAACTCTGTTGAAAATCTGTTTACCAGCAAGCACAAGAAAATCAGTCTCCTCATTTCGGTCACAAGATGCAATCCTTTGGCCTGCCACCTTTTCTTCCCCCCCGTCCCCGCCTCCCTACTCAGCTGGCCACCCATCCCCTCCCTCTGTTTCCTCTTTCTCCCTGGCTGCATCATTTAATCGCCCTCCTGGACTGAGAGCCCCACGCAGCGCTGGTACTGAGCCAGAGACCTCAGAGAGAGAGTTTTTGGGGTCAGATGCAGACAAGCAAGCCTTTGAAGAAAAGGCTTCTGAGAGCAAAGCCAGAGCTGACTGCCTGATGGAAGATTGCTCCTTCTTATACAGCCTGCCTCGTGGGGCCCGGTCCCACTCACCAATCACTAGAAATATTAGGAGGCAGCTCGTGCTGGAAAGACACACCCTACTTTGGCAACAGAAACACCCTGCCTTGCCATTTCCTGGCTGTGTTACCAGTAGTTAGCGAATTGCTGTTTCCTCATTTTAACACGGAAAACATGATGCCTACGTTAATTATTCTGACTATAAAAATGAGATAACGTATGAAGAATATAGTAAAAGAACCTACAAAAGATGGGCTGTGATGCATTTTGGAAACCTACCCGAGGCTTTGTCCGTCTGTCAGCTCTTAAAATCATAGTCAAAGATAAGTCTTTTTAAAAAGGTGTTTGGAAGTCAAATTCCTTTAAGGTTAAAAAAAAAAAATGCTAGCACTACATAGCATTTATGTTTAAAATTTTCAAGCTAAGACTCTTAGCCTTGACAGTGACTTGTTTTTGAAAAGCACAATCATTTTCTGTTTATAAGATGTTTATATGCTAGAATGGAACTTAATCAGGGTTTCCTAATAAATGCACCACAAATCAGTCACTCAAACAGCCAAAGGCATGTACTCACCGGGTGATATAGGCCTGCTTGAACTTGGAGAAGGTGTGTAAGGGATTGGGCTGGACACAGTGCGAGGTCTTAATCCTTGTGCAGACATCTCATTAAAATACCTAAGAGGAGAGAGGAGGAATGATCAGAACCACCTCCATTTACACAGTCCTTATCAGAGTTTTTATAAGAAGATTTTGGGGTGCGCATCTTGAGGTCAAAATCCTCAATGTTGAGAGAGTGATGCTGCAGCTAGGAGGCATTTATAAAAATGAACTCCTGAGTTGGGTTTGACAAACCTTATTCCACAGGGGCACAGGTTTGGCTCAGGATGAGGCCTGGTGATAGAACTATGCTGTACAACAGAGGTCCAGCCTTTTTCCATCACAAAACAGCAATGCAGAAATTCACCTCCATTGTCCTGAGAGCTACAAAGATGCCCACATTTTAACTGCTCCTTTAAATTGTTATTTGAAACTCAAACCCAAGCAAGCCCTCTGAGATTCAGGACATCAAACCAAAGCTTAATGACACATATTCCTGTGAACCAAACATCAACTGTTTACAAACAAGCCTTGCTGAAATGATAGTCACTTAACAGAATTTGACAAAAGACAGGAGTACTGAGCACCTACAGAGTCACACTTAGCCACATGGTGCCAAGTCTGACTTCTTCCTGGATTCGGAAGTCACACCAGACCTGAGAATGCTGAAGTGTCATCATCGGGAACATCAGCTTTCGCTCTGTGAACCAAGCACAGAGGGCTGAGGCAGAGAAACGTCTGCTTGAGAAGCTTCCTGATAAACTGTCCTCACGGGCGTATGTGCTTATACCTTTATCCCAGGGAAGATCTTGGCCTGGAGTTCATCAGTTTAGGAATGGGAGGAACTTTAACAGATATCCCAAACAGGTTTATTCAACTTGAACAAAGGCAGACTCCCTAATTTGACATCTATCTGTCAGCTAGATATCCACCACTAAGCCCACCACAGTGGCACAGGGTGGGACTTCTATTCTCTTTCTCCTTTTTTTCCTTCTATCATTCCTAGTACACAGAGAAGTACTTATCGGACAGCCGTATTCTACCTGGGATAATCTGAGCTATAAAATCAGGCAAACCTTCTACAGTGAATACAAGTTCTGGAAAAAAAGTTATTTGAAAGCCTGAAGTAGCTTCACTATTATCACAGTAATTAGCAAGAATTATCCCTTAGAGTGTGGCTAACCCAAAATTGGGTATAAGATGATGTATATGGTGTATTCTGGGTGTTAAGGTAGTTAATGAAATAGTTAATAAGCCATTTAGTATTCTCGCTTATGTCTGTAAGTCAAATGGTTCTCAGAAGATAATGGCGTTTAGAGGGTTCATAATACACTTTTAAGAAATAATCCTTGTTTTCCAATGAAGAAGGATAAACACATACTGAAAACTGGATAACCTGTTATTGTCTTTGTAATTGTTTTTCCTCAATACAAAAATATAGACTTCCAATTACAGAAAAAATTTTACATTTTTCTTAAAACAGTAATACCACTGTCCATAGCAAACTCATCAAAATATTTTGTTAGCCCTCAAGATCTATCCCATGATAGAAAACAGGTGTTATACTGCCTACATGTTTGGGGACATGTTTTGGCATCAAGAATACCACCTGCCACTGGCATTAGCAGACACTGCTTTCAGACACTGGGTGCTCAGACCTGGTGGGGGTTGTGGCGTCCCACGGATCCTCGGTCTTGCCTCTTACGGTGGGGTATGGCCCACATAAGGCCAGCACATCCCTGATATAAGAATGAGGGATCTCCCTGCAGATATGCTCTGGTTCCGAGAAAGCCTAATTCCCCAACTGTTGGGTTTTCTGCTGGCTGAATAATTTTTTTCTATTTATATTTGTTGCTCACCTTAACAACCACCTTATTCCCATGTTTGGAAGAGGAGGAAAAGAGAGATCTGGATAAGAGGCAAATGCCAAAGCCATTTCCTCTAGTGAACACTTATTCCAGCCCATTCACAGGAGGGCTAGACGGGGGTTCAACAATGCATGAGCTTGAACAGTTGCATTAGTTCTAGTTTTTGAAAGCAACTGAAAGACTCACAAGTTATTGTGTTATGGCAACTCCTTGGTATTTCAACGTCTACCTGCCTCCTGCTAGTTCTTTTTGATTATGCATATATTTGTTTCTTTAAGCTACACGACAGCTTGCTCATCCATACACAGTGTAGGAATTAATATGTTCTCAGAACACAGGATTAGACTAATTCAGTAACAAATGCAAGCCCTGCCTCCATCTCTCTTCCCACCAAATAATATTAGAGAGACAAGTTTTTTTTTTCTTCTTTCTGAGTGTAAAGAAAATATTCAATCTTCTTTATATCCCCTTCTCAGCACCTACTTTACTGCAGTGCTTTTCATCAAATACTTAAGCCATCTCCTTCTCCATCTAACAGGGTGCAAAGATAAGTCTTTAAAAAAGACACACAAAAGGCTCATAGCGCATGCAGACACCTTTCGTCATCCATTTCCAGGCTGGACTCGCTCTCGGAGAGCTGTCGACAGAGGGCTTCTCTTCTCTCCATCTCCCTCTGCAGCTTCCTCTGCAGCCTCAAGTTCTCTTCCCTCATGTGACGTTCCTCCTCCAGATACTGTGCCATTTTCTCTGAATCTGAAAAGCCAGTGTTATCAATTAAATCACGTGTCATGCCACCATACCCAATCTTAAAAAAGGAGACCTGAGTTCAGTCTCTAAGCCATAGACAGAAGGAACTGTTAAGACAAGCGATTAGGATTTGAAGTTTATTCCAAGTATCAAAGTTTATCAATGACTCTCCTTTAGGAAAAAGGACAGAAGGCAGTGCTGGCAGGTTAGGCACCTTCACTCCCACACACTTGCACTTTTTCAATGGGAGAGAAAGGCTGGATCTGTAGCTGAGGCTGGAAGGAGCCGCTCTCAGAGCTGGAGCTGGGAGAGGACAGAGCCCAGATTCTGCCCCCAGCCTCCTCTCCGCGCACCAGTTTGGCAGCCTCTCACCTCCAGACACCGTGAGTCACCTAAGGAAGCCTGTCTCGCTCGTCAGCGTGTCCACCGTGCACAGTGCTGGCAGCTCAGAGCCGCTGCACCAGAGGAACACATGTGGGAACAGTTAACACTCTGTTTATGAGAACAGAAATTCACTTTACATTAACTACCACGTGAGTTGTATTTAAGTTATGCCAGTTTTCAGCCCTGGGCCTTGTGAAGCATATACAATTCACATATCTCCTAACCTATCCTAACCTAAAAATACCATGGCCCAAGGAAAAGCTTTTTTTCCCAGTGTGGCAGTCAATGTGTTAACATTTCTAGCGAGTAACTGGTGGTGTGTACACAACTCTGTTGCCCTGACATGCACCCAACCTGAGGCTGACGGCAGGTAAAGACCTGTATCCAGTCTGTACCTCTTGGGAGGGCGTCTTGCTTTTGATGAATCCTCCTGCCTCAGGAGCTGCTGTGGCGGCTGTCCTCCACGGCAGCACTGACTAACTCTGCAGCTAGATGTTGGACTCAGGCTGAGCCGTTCCCTTCCCCAGAATCTGAAAGGGGGAACTGCCATCTTTATGGGGTTGCTGAGTCTCCTTTATTACGGAAGTTCCCTGGACCTATCGCCGCTTCTGCCCTTCTGCGGTAACTCTTCAAAGGATTCTGGGGCACAGGCCACATCCTTCCAATGAAAGGCGACACCTGTCTTCCGCCACCGCTTTCTGGCTTATCTGTTGTTACCAAGGAACCAATGTAACCTTAATATAAAACTCAGCATCCTCCCAGCTCTGGCTTCCTTCCTTTTTCTTGCCTCGGTCAATGAACTTGGGAAAAGTAAAATCTCCATACTCTATCATTTTCCGAAAAACAGCTATAAATTCAGAGCAGCCACGAGCACATCTAAGAGTTTCCTACAGGTTGCTCTCCACATTGCTACCTAGACCAAAATTTAAGAAAGAGGGCAGGAGCTGGATGCCACAGTGGGCATTTTTCTCCCACTAAATGACACTATTTCAACTTGTGACCCTATTTCAACTTTCTGTGTCTGTCTAATTAGTTTCAGTTTTAAGCAACTCTATAAAGGTATGGACTTTCAGCAAATAATGAATTCTGAGACGTCCTCAGTAATTTCCAAGACAGCAGGATATCTAACAGTTCTAAAATATCCTTATTTTATAAATTGAAAGAAAAAAATACCAAAATTATTAAACACTTATTTGCACTAAACACTAAATCCCTTGGCTGTTTTCAATTCAGTCAGAAACCCTGCTGTCTAATCCAGACACAAAAATCTCTTTAATTGAAGGCATGCTGGGAAAATATTTGTAAAGTACACTTTTAATATAAACGATTTAAATTATTTCATCCCAAATATGCAAGCATGCAGAATTTTTCACTTAACTCTACAGGAAGCGCTAGATTTGGGCCCCTTGGGGATATTCACTGTTTGCAGAAGGGAAACTCCCAGAGCAAGTTGACTTTCTTTTCCATAATAGGAATCTCCTAATGCCTTGTAGGGTGCTAGCGAGTGACACAAAATCCTTTGCAGAATTGAGAAATCATGAGGCTCCAAGAATAACTTCAGAGGAAACACTGTCTCCTCCAATGGCAATCATTTAGCGATGGGGACTCAGCAAGTAGATCCTTAAACAATAATCTGTAAGATGAAAATACTACCTGAAGTGACCAGCTGGGGAAACTTCCTGGCAATTCAGCAGTTAACCTAGAAGCCAGAGGCATAAAGATGGGACCAGGTCCAGCACCTCTGGTGTCAGAACCAGGCACAGACTGCTGACTTCATGGCATTCCTCCGGTGCCCTGTGCCACACTGCCACACCTGACTGCATGTACTCCCATGGGTCATCCTCCCTTCTCTTGTACTTACAGTTCCCTAGTACTCAGGTACCATGGCTCCTACCTCCCTATCTTCAGCCATCTCTCTGTATAGTAAGTAGGTCCTCACTTAACGTTGTCCGTAAGTTCCTGGAAACTGACTTTAAGTGAAACAATACATGCATGTGGCAGGAACCTAATTCTCATTTGTATCAACTAATCTATGATAAAACTGGTTTGGTTATACAGCATGTAATTTTGCTCGAAGTTGCAGTTCCCAAGAACCCAGGGACAATGTCAAGTGAGGACCTACTGTGTTCACTCAAAGGTATCAGAAACTGTGTCAAAACAAGTGGCTCCCAAATGATCTAAAGCTGAGCTGCCCACTTTTTTGTTTTCAAGTTTATATACCAATGCCAGACTCCAACCCAAACCAACTGAAGCAGAACACCTGAGAAGAGGCCTAGCCACCAATATATGAAGAGCTCCACAAAGGATACCAATGTTTAACCACTGCTGAGGACTACTGAGAGAGAGGTTCAAGTTCAGGTACAGCTGGGCTTGGCAGGTGAGGAGCCACCTGCCACAGCTGTATCCAAAGAAGGTACAGATCATCTTACCCAAGGGGAATGATGCAGGTGCATGAGGAAAAGCCATTAACGCACCCCCTAAGCCAGTGATTCTTAACCTTCCCATTGCCATGACCCTTTAATACAGTTCCTCATGTTGTGGTGACCCCCAACCATAAAATGAAGTAGCAATGAAAATGTTATGGTGGGGGGGGTCACCACAACATGAGGAACTGTATCATAGCGTCGCAGCATAGGAAGGTTGAGAACCGCTGCTCTAAGCTCAGCCTACACTAGTACAATCAGCTAAGTGCCACTTGCGGCTTCTTCAGGTCAGCTTTCTCTGTCCTCGCAAAACCAAATGGCACTTGGGATCGTTATTCTCTTTAAATCCAGACAGAGCCAAATGAACAAGTAGTAAGAACAAAAAATTCTTGCCAAGTTTCTTCCAGAGATTTTGCTTGGGGCACAACAAAGCAAGTATAAGTGAGAAAGATGAATGTAACACGGTGACACGGGCCAGAGTTCAGAAAGCTGCTCAAAGAGACCCGTCTGCCTAACACAGCAAAAACCTCCAAAGCATTCTCAAGTAAGATTTTGAGAAGCCTCTGCTTCATCTCGTTTGTTTTCATGGAATATACATGCATACAGTAGTTATCAACCGACTTGTAATTAAAAAAAAAAAAATTCAGAGGACCTGGCTGAGAACCAGGCGTTCCCCCTGGAGAAAGCCCAGAAACCCGGATGGTGTTAGAGTGATGGTCCCCTAAAGAAATCCACATGATATCCCCAAATCCGGCACATGTTATGACTACACATGATGACAACAGGGTCTTCACAGATGGCACAGAGTTAAAGACCTTGAGATGGGAAGATTGTCTTGGATCACTAGGGGACCTGACATAGTCATAAGGATCCTATGGGAGGCAGAGGAGTCAGAGTGAAAGGAGACAGGTGGGAGTGACTCACTGGAAGGGACCAGGAGCCAAGGACAATAGGCAGCCCCCTAAGGCCAAAAAAGGCAAAGAAACAGTCTCTCTTACAGCCTCAGAAAGAACGCAGCCCTGCATACACCTTGATTTTAGTTCAGCAAGTCTCATTTTAGACTTCCGATCTCTAGAAGATAATACATCTGTACCATTTTGAGCCACCAAGTTTGTGGTAATATGTTATAGCAAAAATAATTAACTAATACATCATACTTCTTAATGGTTCCAGGGATGATCTTGATGCACTACCTCAGATGCTCAACTGGATGAGAACTTGCAATGAGCTTCAAATAGGGAAACATCAATGCACATTCCATCTGACCCAATAAAGCCCTTGCACAAGCATCAGACATGTATATGAGATATTCACTGGGGCTGTGGGATAACCACCCAAGGGGGTTTATGAATAGACTAGTTAAATTATGGCATATCCATAAAAATACTATTCAGCCTTTAAAGAAGGAATGAGGCAGCTCTGTATATACTGACAGGGAGTGAGGGGGAACTGTATGACGTAAGTGAAAAGAAAAATGTGTAGAAGAGTACATTCACTGTGCTGCTTACACCCGTGTCTCAGTGTCTGTACGGGATTGGTCCTGGAACCCAAGTATACCAATATCCATGCATAGTCAAGTCCCACAGTCAGCCCCAAGAAACTCACACACATGAAAAGCCAAACTCCATACCCTCACCCCACAGATACTATCTTTTCTACCTGCCTTTGGTTGTGAATGTGGGACCTGCAGATACAGAAAGCTGACTATATTATTAAAGAAAAATCTGGTTATTAAGTGGACCGGCATAGCTTAAACCCATATTGTTTAAGGGTCAAGTGTGTTTGTATAAAAGAATTTTATGTACATACATATATATGTCTGGTCCAAGATGGTGAAAGTGTCTAATTGTGGGAACTGGGTGGCTGGAGACCAGGAGTTAAAGGGAGACTTATTTTTTCACTACATACCTTTTACTGTATTATCTACTTAAAAAACAAACAAACAAACAAAAAAAAAAAACTGAGTAGCCAAAAAGCAGAAATAGACTTAAGAAAATGTACAGGAACCTGATCAAATATTCAGAAATCTAGTTCCCTTCTTCAACTCAACATCTTGGCCTCTTCCAAAACACGGAGCACAGATTTCAAAGGTATTTACTTTTCAGATTCCATGAACAAATGTCAGCTGAGACTAAATTTAGTAGTAAGGAAGGTAAACATTCTCTTCTGTGCCTTAACATTCCAAAAGTGCATGGAAGTCTAAGACAATATTTTTGTTAGCACAATCTTAGAGATGAGCACGGGGAAGAAGATTAAAAATATTACTTGTGACTCTGGGCTCTGCTGAAATAACTCAAAATAATTATCTGAATAATTTTCTGAAAGTATTCTAAATTCTAATCTTCCTTTACTATAATACTTAAAAAATGTATGTATGTATTCCAGGATGATAAATCTACGTAAACGTGTGTCAACAATAACACGCAATATGAATTATAACAAATCCAACAGTACGTATTTGGTAATATACCATATTTGGTAAACATGTTAATACCACACACAGAACCAATGACCAGAGAGGCTACGTACGCTGTAGCTGAGCAGCTCTCAGTTGCTTCTTCAGCCGCTCCACTTCGTTCTTTAAAAATCTGATGTGGCGCATCATGTTTTCTGGAGAATCAATCTCCATGGAGATATCCCTGGGCGATGGTGGAGCAGAGACGGGCTGGTCTAATTTCTCCTGCAGGATTCTTCATTGAAAAGAAAAATTCCAATAATGAAAAACAGTTTGCCTCGAAAAAGACAAAACAACATACTAGCTGGCAAGGTTGTTCTAAAAGCAAGCACCTGTGCATTGCCAGGCTTCACAGAGTCGCCTCTGTCCTCTGCCCATTTTATACCAATCTTTGGTGGCCGTACCTCGAACCTCAAGTCCAAAGGCAGAGCTGAACGATCTACTCTCTTTTAAATGACCACTGGTAATTAAGCAACACTGAAAACTTGTACTTAACATTTAACATTTGGTTCTGATGAAGATGTCTGGAATACAGTAGGCACTCAGAATTATCTGCTGAGTAAACGCTCAATACACTGGGTTGAGGGCATTGAGATACTAAAGGGATTTGGCTTTCTTGCCACTTTGAGTTAAAACTTACGGACTACAAAAAGTCTCCTTGGAGGGTGAAGTCACATAAAAAGACTCAACCTCTAAAATTCCCTCCTGTAAAACCAATTCTAAGGGCAGGGCAAACAGGACTGAGCGCCTTTTGCTTCCAGCAATAGCAAAGCTAAAAAGTTAAAAACTAAAGAAAACCAAAATTACTGGGTTAGTAACTGGTGGTGTCACCTCTCCACCAATTATTATATAAACCATTGACATTCAACAGCTTTTGACCTACCAAATGACAACTTCTTATTGTTCAACTCAATAATTTGGTGCATATATATATGTATATATATATGAAACTTCCAATAACTTTCCGCAAAGGAAGACTGACCAGCAACATATCTCTACATCCCTTTCTATAAGCTGCTAGACTTTATTTTATTTTTAACTTTTCGACTCTGAGTTTGCCCAAGCTTAAAGTGAATTTGAGAAAAGTAGGATGTTAAATATTATACTGGTCTCTACATTTATTATATAAAATAACTTTTCATAATTCAACTTGTTAGCATTGCTACAGTAATGCAAAACATTGCTGATTCAATTATAGCTTGCATAGTTCCTGTAACTGTAGCTCTAAGTTTCACTTTTCTTAAAGCCATGAGGTCTATCTGTATTTTGCAAATCTAGAGGTGAACTCAAAAGAATTTATGAATATGCACCCAAACCAAATATTTAAGGCAGAAAGACTCCAGGCAGCAAATAAAAGACCCGGTGAAGTGGACTAATGAATATTTTTTAAAAGCTTACTTTTTATGCCTATATACACATCCTATATACAGATCTTTCCTGCCATTCTTATAGGTTCTTCCCGCCCACCCCCAAAGTACACAATGCATGAAAATAAGGGACTAACAGTAACTTACACAAAGGAGTCCAAGAAATATTTGCTTTTGAGTGATATCCCACACCTGCCTATGTATATTTAACACAAAGAATCCTTAAACATATACAGGGATTTGTAGGTTTTCAAACAAATAATTTTCCTATTAAAATCCTAGGAATGTGTAATAATTAACAGGACACAGTACATCCTTAGTATTTCAGAAGCAAACTGATGGAAGCCAGTTCAATAACGTGAAAAGCTGAGATTGCAACCATCCTTGAAAAGAATGTGAAGGTGAACAATGGTCCCATGATTAAATCTGTCACAGCCTTGTAATGCCGAATGAACGAAAATTCTGCTGGGACAATATGATAGCAGAGCACAGAGGCGACCAACATGGGAACAGTACAGAAGGCTTTCAACATTGTTTCCCTTTGCCAAGTTAAAATGATATGCATCACTCAAGGAGCTAAAATGCCCATCGTTATCTCTTGTCATATCCAGAACAGGACTGTAGACACACACACATACACACACCCCGTATCGAACAGGAAGACTAAACACACCGCTTTTCAGCTTCAAGTTTATCCATTCTTTTCCAGAGACGATTAACTAGTGCTTCTTGTTCTTGTTCCAATGTATTTTCAAGGTCAATCTTTTCTCGTCTCAACTAAAGAAAAGAAAAATGTTTTACTGAGAATGGTAGGCCATTTAAACTCGGTTGATCGTATGTTTGATTAAATTAGCACGATCCTTCCCTCCCACCCCCGCCACTTACTTGTACAAAACTGAAAAGACATGGCACATTTTCTGGCACAGACACATTAAATATACCTAGTTCATAAACTTTAATTAAAAAATTGAGATTCACTCTTGATGGTAACACTTAATTGTTGTCTGGTACACGGATTGCGTTTCTTGTTTCAGCGTTTATTCAAGGCATTTTCCTTCAAGAGGGTTTGGGGGGATTCTTTTTACTGTTCATACCAGGATTTTTCTGGGTTTGTCCCTTAGTCCTGCATACAGTTCAACAGTAGATCAGACAGATTGTACTACTTTTTATATGCATATAAATAACTCTTAAGTGCACCCAAAATAACTCTACCCTGGCTAGTAGAAGTAAATAAACACTTACTGAGAAATAAACACATGCACATAAACTGCAAACACCAAATTCACAATACTTTTGAGGACTCAGGGAAGGAGGGAAATTTGACTCGGGGGAGGGTACACGGTTAGAGAGGGAACCTCAAACCATATCCTACTTCCTAAGATGAAGCAGACGTGGGAAAATTCATTTAGCCAATGTTGAGCAATACGCCATACAAACTGAGAATAACGCCAGACGCTGCTTAACGGGGATGGAGCTGTAAACCGAAGGGTCAGGAATTTCTGTTCTCACAGCATTTCATCTTAGTGGGGGTCAGGTTAGTCAATGAAGAGAGCCAAAGAGATATAAAGAAAAGGATGGCTGGTCTGAGGGATAGAAAGCATAGTGATAAAGAGGTCTCGTGGCAGTGGGGAGAAGGACCGCGTAATAGTCTCTGTACTTGGCTGTATGTTTGAGATATTAAATAATTTTAAAGGGAAGCTTTTTTAAAGACAGAGAGCCCACATTGCTACCCCCAATGTTGTCTCTTCAGCCAATGGCAATTCATCTCTTCAGCGGTTGAGCTGACAGATTATTTTTGATTACTGAACTACAAAAACGTCAACAGTTTCGCATTTCCTTAGTGAGTCACGGGAGGGATCCAAGACCCCTAACGTGGACAGTGAAGCGGAGTTGACAGCAGGCGCAAAATGGAGTCTTTTAAAGCAGCCAAGGCGTCCAACATCAGAACAATTTCTGAAGTGCCGTTTTCTTTTTATCTCTATACGAAGTTCCTCTTTCTGAAACTGCTCTCGCAGTAGCACAGAAGCACAAATCGAGCCCCCAAAATGGGCAGTGTAACCAACCCTGTCAGCAGACAGAAGGCCCAAGGCATGCCCACATTGAGCACATGGGAGCACATGATGCCCCTGGGAATGTGGGCACCCCCTGCTGCGTATCTGACCCAGCGGCCACAATCAGGCGTCTTAGAACCTAATCAACCAAGACACGGGAGGAAATGATACAAGGACGATTAAATGATCACGTGGAAGGGTCACTGGGGAAGAAAGAGGTCTCGAACTGACGGGGGACGTGCTCACATAGGACAGATGTAGGCTTTTCTTTTCTCCTCTCGCCACAAAAATAGCTGTAGAAACCACTGGCCATTTGAATAAATATTTCTTGTAACTTAGGCAAAGCAGCAGCTGATACATTAAAACAGACTCCTGTAGGTACAGTTCTCAGAAAGGCAGTGGGATGAGGTGATTATGATCACAGACCTCGAGCCAAATGCCTGGGCTCAAATCCCAGCTCCATCACTCATTAGTTGAGGTGCTGGGAAAGTACTAGACACCGTTTTGTCATTTGTAAAGTAAGAGGCAAACATGATACCCACCTTACTGGGTTACCGGTGAGCATTAAATATGCTATTTCATGCAAATCATTGATAACTGATTGGCTGTCAGAAAGCACTCGATACGTGTGGGCTATGATGATCACCTACAAGGTAATCTGTCCTACTTCTGCTTCAGCCCTCCAGAAAGTGAGCTCTTCAAGATTTACATTCTCCCAAGAGACTGAGGCAGGTGGACTTCTTGAGCTCAGGAGTTTGAGACCAGCCTGAGTAAGAGCAGGACTCCATCTCTAAAAATAGCCAGGTATTTTTTTTTTTTTTTTTTTTT